TTAGATATACACAATGATCACATTCATCATAGGAAACTTACACCTGTACATGATATCTTAGTTTCTCTCCCCCATCCCCCTTCCCTCCCTTCAATCCTTCTTCCCCTCCTAGTTTATAAGCTTTGTTTCCATTTCATCCTTTTTTTCTCATTTTTTCTTTTCCTTCCCTCCCCCCACCCTTTCTCGTTTCCTCTTGAACAATGTCTTCCTATTTCACAATATCTATAGTATGCTTTGGTTCTTATTTACACTCTCAGTTTTTAATGCCAGATCAAATTTATTTTTACAGTATCCTATTAGCCTTTTGCTCTTATTTATAATTTTCCTGTTCCTTAATCTTGATTCATTGATTTAACACAGGCCCTGCAATGGGTTCTCCTGAGAATGAATCTCATCTCCACCATTTATTAGCAATGTGACCTGGCTGTTTAATTTCTTTGTAACTCTGTAATAACTGCACCTGCTGTATAGGTGGTTAGGAAGATTATATGAAATAATCCATACAAAGACCTTAGAACAGTGATGGCACAGAAATGGTAATAAATGTTAGCCCAATTCCTATTTTGCTAGTACTATCCTGAGTTTGGTGTAAACTGCCTTAAACTCTTTCTGGAGTATAGTGGAAGAAAGATATGGAAAAGCGAGTAAGAACACAAAGGAGGACATACCACCTCACTCTAATTAGAACAGGTACTACAGAAAAAGATGAAAGATAATAAGTGCTAGAGAGGATATGGAAGAAGTCTTAGTTACTTTCTTGTTGCTAACACCTGCAATTTAAAGGAGGAAAGGTTTATTTTGGCTCACAGTTTGTAGAGGTTTAAGTCCATAATCAGCTGGCTCCAAGGCAGAGAAGCATGGCAGAAGGGCATGGTAGAAGAGAAACAGTGCATAGCAGAGCAGCAGGAGGCAGAAAGCAATCAAGAGGGGAGAGGGAGATAGACCCTTCCAGGTCACGCTGCCAGTGACCCACCTCCTCTGACCAGGCTTCAACCCTCAACATCATATTTAGTTATAAACCCACCAGTGAAGTAATCCATTGATAGGTATCATACCTGCATGGATCCAATTGATGTAGCAGATAGGGTGTGTCAAAGCTGGCTGGGGAAATAAGTGGGACCTGTCAATTACAAGATCCCAAGGCAGTTGTTATGGTTTGTGTCTGCATGTTCACCCAAATCCTCATGCAGTCATGGGGCAGGCTTCTAGGGTTTATGATTGATCCGAGATTGAATGCTGGATTATGGATGTGAGTGCTACACCTGCCCCGAGGCGGGTAGTTTGCATACAGTGTAAGGGAGGGAAAGAGGCTGCTTGCCACCGCTCCTCCCTTTTGCTCTTGTTGCTTTGCTGTTCCACTGCCATGAACTGTTGCCCTTTGCCATGTGCCACTCTGCCTCAGAACCAGCCAAGTATGGACTGAAATCTCCACAAACTGTGAGCTAAATAAACCTTTCCTTCCTTCATTTTGGGGATCAGGTATTTTGTCCCAGCAATGAGAGAAAAGGAACCAAGACACAGTGCCAAATAATTCCCAGGACTCTGTATATGAAATTTCTCATGTGTTCCTATGAGATGCAGACAGCATAAAAGAAACGAGATACTACAAGGAGCCGACTACGGTGACTCCTCACAGTAGCCCACTCTGTGTCAACACAGAATGCATTTTTATTTTTGCTTTTATCTGTTCCTCTGTTTGTTCAGCCCAAGTTCACTGTGCAGAGCTAGTTCTTCCCTTATCCCTTCATCTCTCAATTTTCAAATAAAATTTTGGCACCGTTTTTGGCTTGGCTTGTCCAATTTGTTTGAAGAAGGAAGGCCCTGGAATACTTTTGATTGGTGACCCATTTCTAAAGGAACTATTCAACAACACAATCACCTCTCCATAGCCCCATCTATGAGCACATGAGGCGTCGGGGGGGGGGGGCATCCATTTGTAAACCATGACAGAAACTCTTGCACAGTGTTCATAGGAATGTAAAAAGAATTAAAATCTGTCATTTGTGATAACATAAACCTGGAGCATATTATTAAATGAAATAATCCAGGCACAGGAAAGCAAATACCACATGATTGCATTTATATGTGAAGTCTGAGAAAGTGGAAATCAGAGAAGCAGAGAGTAGAACAGTGAGTCCCAGGGGCTGGAGAGAGAGGATTGAAAAGATGTTGATCAAAGGACACAAAATTTCAGGTAGACAGAAAGAATAAATTTAAGGGCTTTATTGTACATCATGGTGACTACAGTTACTAACAAGATATTGTATATTTGAAAGTTTATAGTGTAACGAATGTGGTTTTGATACACAGATATATTGTAGAATGGCTAAATCAGGCTATTTACTGTATGGATTACTTCACATACTTATAATTTAAGTATCATTTAAATTGAAAACACTTAAAATCTACTCTTTCAACAGTGTCCATGGTGCCGAGCTGGCAAACTCTGTCCACTCAACTGCCCGTTGTACAGATTGGGAGACTGAGGCCCAAGATCCTCTCCTGGTCACATACAGTAATCCTTCTATAATTTATCTTTAAAAACTGCATGCTTTCGGGAGGGCCTTGAGCTCTAAGGATTTCTAAAACATTCCTCTTTCACTTTCTCCCTTTGCCCATTCCTTTTCTTTGCAGAAAACTCACATCACTTGTATGGAGGCCTGGAATTTCTGGCAGCCACTTCTGCCTAGCTGGACCTTCCCCCTTGCTCCTGGTCCCCATCAGTGACCCTCATGGGCCAGGCCACCCAGCATTGCTGCAAACAGCCCGGCCAAGGCAGCCTCAAGGAGATGGGGAATGATTCCTCCCACATCAATATTTATTGCCAGAGAGCGGCTGGGAGCAGATCATCATGTTCTCAGGCTCCAGTTCTTTTTTAAGAACCTCTCACCCCCTAACCTCCCTACTCCCCATCCCCATTGTGCCAGCAGAATAAATGCAGACAGCCAGACAGGTTCACAGCTGGGGAGCCAGTGTTTCAAGATATCATAGCACTCAGCTCTCAAACTCTGACTCTGAATTACAGCAGCTCTGACTTGGGAATTGCGCATTCTCAGACTCTGAGGTGAACAGAGCATTCCTCCAGGAACCCAACCTCTGCACCTCACAAGCCAGTGCAGAGTGGGGAAGTGACTTCTGCTCAAGGTCACATAGAGGAAATGTGACAGAACCCAGTGCAGACCGTCACCCACCCCATCCTTTCTCCTTTCATCCTATCCACTCCACCGCCCACTGTTCAAAGCTTGGGCCTTCTATGCTCAAATGTAGGGTCCAACTCAGAGTGCATCTGTAACCACACTCCCGCTTCCAACAAGAACTCTTCCCCAAGTTCCAGGAATTTCATGTCCTCCAGATTTTGGTCTGAGCTAGGTAGAACTGGGAAAGAGAATCTGAGGTTCCAAGCTGTCTTCTGCCTTTGAAACTGGTGTTTTCCCCACACTGCTTCCTTGGCCTCTGAGCCAGTAAACCCATCCAGCATCAGCCCAAGCTGTCCGAGCAGTTCTGCTCCCAGGCAGTGCATGGGTCCACCCCCACCTCTTCCAAGCAATGCGCTGCTTCTTGCCTGCCCGTTGCATAGCATAGCTTCCTTGTCACCTCTCTCTGCACAGTCTCTTTGTCCTTCATAGTCCTTTATCTACCTGTCACCTGGTGACAGACCCTCTTCCAGGCTACCCACCGGTCCTGAAGCCAGCAGTGAAGGCCTTTCCCCTGGCTGGTTTTCTTTGGTCCATGTTCACCCTCTCTTTGTGGGGTGAGGTGAGGTAGGGAAGTTCTGTAGGGCAGCCGAGGCAGGGAGTCAGACAAACTTGGGTCAAACCTCAGCTTTTCCAGGCAGAGAACTCTTCAGCCCTTCCTCCCAGGCCCACACTTTTTTGCTCTAACAATTTCAAATGCACCAGCCTACCACATTAAATAGAATTCTTCTTGCTGCAAAATATTTGACAGGAGTTTTATAAATGGTCCCATTGAAATTAGAATTACACTTAATTTATGACTGTGATTTTCTACCAGCCACCTCCCATTCTTAGGAGAGGAAAGAATCTAATACATAAATTTTCAGAATGTGATGAAATGTGTGTGAGTATTAAAGAAAAATTAATGAAGTTAACTCAATGACATAAAATTAAACTTAAAAAATATTTTTGGAGTCTTTTTCTTTTCTTATTTGGAGTCAGTGTATTGTTTTTCTGGAAAACTTGGAATCATTCATCCTGCCCAAGGGTCATAGGCTCCTGCCCTCTCTACCAGCTTTGTGACCCCAGGCAAGTTCCTCCACTGAGGTGGGCTTCAGTGTCCTCCTCGAAGGAGAAACCCACCTGTCCTGAGAGCCGAGCAGGTCTCTGAGGGGCCATGAGACATCTTTCCTTATTGTTACTTGGCCAGGAGTCTTTGCCTCACTATTCTGTGCCACTTTAAGAGTAAAGACCACTCTGGCGTTCAGCCTTGAGCCAGGCCCAGAGGAGCTGCTCAGTGCGTGTTTGTCCCCTCCACTGTCCCCAAAAGGGTAAAGTTCTCTTCTATAGCCAAACCCTTTCTCCAGGCCTTTTCTGCACCTAGAAATCCCACCCCTGTTTCTATACTTCCTTGAATCCTTCCACATCGAGCTCAAATCCCTCCTCTCCCCGAAGCCCTCTCAGACTCACTCGCACAGCCTCCACTTCTTGGCATTCCTGTTGCACATTCAGAATTCACAAATGATCAGCACAGAGGGGCAGAGGCTCAGACCGGCCTGTTTCTCATCCACACACCCCTTTGCTGGCTGTGTGAGTCTAGGCAAGTTCCTTCCACCTAATACATGTAAAGCCTCAGATCTCGCTGTGGAAAGGGCCAGTGACATTCACTATGAGGGGCTGCTGGGCAGATGCTATGGCGCCCAGACAGGAACGAGTTTGGTAAGCTGCGGCAGGTAGGCCTTGAGAGGGATGAAGTTTGTTGTTACAGAGAAGCATATATGGGTGAGGGCTGGAGCCTGGGCTGGGGCAGGACATGGAGGAGCTTACCTTACTGACAGGTGAGGCTGCACCTGCCACTGCCTTTTGCCAGAAGTGAAGCTCATGCTTCTCCTTAGGCATCTCTTTGGGGAAGAAGAAGTAGGGGCTGGCAGCCAGTGCCACCATGCCAGAGGAGATGAGGAAGCCCAGCCACCAGGCACCCACCCATCGAGGGTCTTTCGGGGTCAGGCTGACACCACCTGGAAGAAAAGATCATGGTGATGTTAGGGTCAAGGTAGGCTATATACTCCAGGCCACCACCCTGGGACTAGCCTTTGAGACAGGAGGCAGTCTGGCCAGGGTTGTGAGGTGTTAGGAGACCTGAATTCTGGTGTTGGCTCTTCCATTTATGTGTCAGGTGACTTGGGCAAGTCTCTGACCCTGCCTGGGCCTTAGCTTCTTCACTTACGAAGGCAAGGTAGTATAGGGTTCAAGGTCATGGACTACTGAGTCTGGATTCCATTACTAACTTAAAACCTCAGGCAAGCTTAATCTCTTCACGTCTCACTTTCTTCCCTTGTGAAATACAGGTATAGGATTAATAGGTTCTCTGGGAGTGGGGGATAATACCTGGGATAATAGTTTTTATATCATAAGATTGTTATGAGAGCTATAGAAACTAATGCACATAAATTAAAAAATAAATTTAATTAAAATTTAAAAATCTAAAGAGACAGAGAGACTAACACAAGTAAAGAACATGTAGAAAAGTATGTGCTATTAGTCATTTGCTCCTTGTTTTCTTCCTCTCTCTCCTTCTTCCATTACTATTACTACTGTGATTATTATTACTAAATCAAATTATTATTATTAAGTTAAATAATGGTTAGGACTGCTGTGCTAGTTCTCAGAACTGCACACTGATGAGAATCACCAGAGGTACTTGTCAGAGCTACTGATCTCACTGAAGATTTATTTAGAATGACGACAGGGTGCAGTAGGAAGGTGACTAAGGAATGTGCGCCTTCAGCAGTTTCCCTAGGTGATTGTGATCCCCATCGAGGGTTAATTAGGACTGGATTATCCTAATGTACTCCTGGATGTAGGGAACAAATTTCTCCTGAAAGTTCTCAAGCCAAGGGCTGAGCCGGAGACTTCCTCCTCCAATCTCCATAGCACCCACAGGCACTTTGCAAACATATAAATGCATGACAACGCCAGCCACTAGGGCCAGCAGCTGCTTTCCCAAGTGCTTGATCCTGAACCATTCCTGGGCAGAGGCCAAGGTACACAGTTGGCCCTCAGCAAATGTATCTGAATGTGGCTTTGTACTGATGGGACCTGATTTGTTCCTCACTTGTTAGCTGCCCTGCCTCTGTGCCAGGCTGGAGAGAACTCATGCACCAATCTCTCTAATTCCTCCACTCACACTGGTCTGTGCCTGCAGCAGTCAAGATCCACCCACCCTATAAAATCCCCCATAAAGAAGAAGGACCTGAGAGGAACCAGTCCCTGGTTCCTCGAAATGCCACACCTGCCAGTGGAGCTGCCAGGATGGTGTCAATATGGGCAGAAATCACACTCCTTCCTCCAAGCAAAGGTGTGCCTCAGAAACCTAGCACACCCCTGACTCACAAGCCCCTTTCCTCTGGAAAGAGAGCAGTTGTGACCAAACCCTAGGTCTTGTTCTATGGTCCGCATTCTAGAAAGAACATACACAGGGCAGGGCTGTCCTTAATGGCAGTTGTACAGACCTGTCCAGACCTACGCTGGCTAGAGGAACCTACAGACAAAAAAGCTGGGGAACATCCATTCAGCCACACAGGTGTCACCTGAGGCTTCTAGGACCTGCTGGAAAATCCTCAGGTGAGGGTCAGGACTTCTGAGTAGCAAAGGCACAACTGGGGCTTATAACTGGTTGGTGTGAGAAGCGTGCAGCTGAGAAGCCACAGTGACAGGCTCTAACAGGAACCCTCCTTCCCGAGTGTTCCAGAGCTCTGAAACCCACAAGGTTCCCTCCTGGCCACCTTCAGACTAATCTCCAGCCCTACATCTTGGCTCCTTCTGACAACTGGCTAGATCGGAGACCACTGCCTCCCAAAAGGTACCCCAGCAGTTTCCTGGATTCTGAGCTGGTCAGGTCTAGGAGGTCACTGAAGTCCGCCAGTGCACGTCCCCTCTGGGAGATGCTTAAGGTGACACATGAGTCACTGAGTTCCACACCAGGTGCCCCTTGGGTGCCATCATCCTCTCTGTTCTACCTGAGCTTGTGCACACTTGGGGCTGAGGGATGTGGAAGAGCAGCTATGTGACAAGGTGAAGGCTTGTAATAACGGTAGTGACAGCAAGCATAACTCTTCATCAGTTGGTGCTTTACAGTTTATCTCTGTCACCTTATTGGATTCTGCCTACAGCTTTGGGAGAGAGACAGGACAGAGATGATCTTGAGGGTGAGAGAGCCAAGGCCCAGAGCAGGTTAGGGGCTCGTTCAGGTTGTTGGTGCTGCTCACGTATGCACCTAGGTTCCCTGGATCAGCGTTGGTGAGGCCAGTGCTCAGCGAGCTGGCATCTGTGTACCCTGGGGACAAGTGCACAGTTCTGAAGCTTACCTTCTGGCATCCGGTCAATGTCCACATAGAGGCGTAGCATGAGGCTGCCCAGCCCAAAGGCCATGCCTGGCCCCATCATGGTCACAGCAAACAGGATCCCTGCAACAGAAAGCCTAGGTCAGGCCCTCCCACCTTGGCTTCCCTTGGTAGTTTGGTGCCTGCCAAATCTTCCACGGGCAGGACCGCCAATTTTCCCTTGACTTTTACCAATCAGATGGAGTAGAGATCAGGGACTCAGTGCCCCGCCCCCACCCTGGGCCTGTGTGCCTTCTACCCAACCTGGCCTGACCCCCAGAGCCTGAGTGGTGGGAGGCGCCTCACCGAGGTAGAGGGGTGAATTGCTGTGGTGGGCAAAGTCATCGATGTAGGAGATACCGAAGGGCTGAATGGGCACCCCGCCCACGCCGAGCAGGGTCTGTGCCACGAACATGACCCCCACCACGGTCACATGCCGGACCTTTGTGAAGCTGGAGCAGCTGCCATTGGAGGACTCAGGGGCCGAGGCTGAGGTTGTGGGCAGGCACAGGGAAGCCTCGAAGTCCTGGGACACATCCTCTGAGAGATCACAGCACAAATAGGATCACAGCCAAGACACAGAACTTACCAGACTCAAAGTACTGTTCTAAGTACTATGGAGAATCGTTTGTTACCCCAACAAAGCTCGGGGATAGGACTTCTCATTACCCCATTTCACAGATGAGGAAACTGTTGCCCAGATGGCCATGAGTCAGGGCAGAGGCAAGACTGGAACCCCAGGTAGTCTGGCTTCAGAGTCCCCACTCTTAACAATTTAAGAGTCACCTTTCTGGCAGAGGCATTTGAGAGGTTCATGGTGATAGTGGCTCTTGGGAGAGGTCAAAGGAGGTCGGGTTTGAACTCAATCCAGAAGAACAAACAAGATTTTCCAGAAACAGAGGGAGGGAGGGAGGGAGGGAGGGGTGTTCCTGGGAGAGATCACAGTATGGGCAAACCCAGGGATCAAAAGGGCACCGGGTTGGTAGAATGAGGAGTCCGGGACAGCTGGATCATAAGGCTTGTGGGCCAGGCAGGGGAGCTGGGGCTGGGGCCTGGAGGGCTCATTCATTTGGGGGAGGCAGTGTCAGCCCAGGACATAGTTTCACAGTGCAAGAAAGGACAATTTCTTAATTTAGTACCAGATGTTTGTGCCTTGTAGCTCACCAATATTTGGTCAGCAAACTTGAGACTGCCACACTATTATTATCCCAAATGAGGGTGTAGAAGCAGTCTTCTTTCTGGGGCCCTCCCTTTGGCTTGGCCCACTGAGAGCTGCACCCTTGGACTAGAAGAGCCAGTGAACCACGGTCAAGAACCCAGAACTGGCCTTCCACGGAGGTCCCTGGATCTCACTGTGTGACCCGGACAGAGACCCTCACCCGTCTGGTCCTCACCTCCCAAAGGGGTTTCCTAGAACCCATGTTTTCTACAGATGAGGAATTCAGAAGCAGGATATTCAGCAGGTCAGAGCAGGGCTCTAGGAATCGTTCTGCTGGCTCTAGGCATGGGGAAATCGCCTCCCTCTCTGAGCCATGCTGGTGAGGAAATAATGATGACACCAGCCCCATAGGGCTTTGAATGTCAAGCAAGCGGTGCCGCTGCTCAGTACCCACTGGACACTAGATATGCTGATCGTTCTAGAGATCTGGTCTCTTTTTCCACCTGGGTCCTAGTGCCTCAAAGAAGGCCTGGTACGTAATAGAGCTGCAGCAATGTTGAAGGAAGGATGGATAAGTGAAACAGCTGGGAGGGTCAGAGCATGGCAGAGGCTCAGAGATTACTGAGCCTCACCCACTCCAAGTCCATGTGAATACTGAGGCTCAGGTGGGAAAAGAGCAGTGCTTGGGGTTGGCAGTGAGGATGAAGGACGTGTGACCCTACATAGAGAGAGTTCTGAGAAAAAAGAAATCCTGGGCATAGAAATGTGAGGAAGTGCTGGGTTTGGTGACTCATGCTTATAATCCTGGATACTTTGGAGGCTGAGGCCGGAGGACTGCAAGTTCAGAGTCAGGCTGGGTAACTCAGTGAGACCCTCTCTCAAAATAAAAGTAAAATTAAAAAGGGGTAGAGAGGTAACTCAGTGCTCCTTGTTTCAATAGTTCAATCCCCAATGACACACATTAGAAGTATTTCTCAGCATTCTAAGCAGTCATCTTGGGAAATGTTCACTGAAGCCTAGATAACCATTCTGCACCCTGCAGGCACATTCTGCTTGTCTGCTTCTCCAGTTCTGCCCATGCCTGTCCCCTTTATTGCAATTCCCAATTTCTGCCCAGGGTCGCCTTCACCAGCCCCACAGCTCTCTGCATCTGCAAGCCTCCTTCCCCTAGTCTGGGTTCTAATAGCTCCCTCCTGTCAGTCTCTAAGGTGTGGGTCTCTATCTAAACCTTGTAGCAGAATTGCCCATGCTAGCTCCAACCTGCACGCTACTGGGAATATCTGTTTCATCTTCCTACTCCTGGTCTCAGCACTTCAGGGATGGGAACTGACGGGAGGGTAAGGCAGGAAGGATGCACTCGGACAGCCCTCCTCCCCTGGCAGGGCTTCCTGATATTGGGCTGGAGTCTAGGCTCCTCCCTTGGGCTCTTTTCACACTTTCCTTTATGCCTTGCACAAATGACACACTGGGTTTTATATTAATTTGCCTGGAGAGAGGGACTGAGTCTCCTGAGAGGGGGTCAGGCATCGAGTAACAGCATTAAGGTTTTCTTATATGGACCACTGGGTGGATGGATGGATGGATGGGATGGATGGATGGGTGGGTGGGTATAAAGGAGAAGGAATGAGAGAAATGAATGCTTAGGCTGTTTGGCTCATTCTCTGCCAGAGGCATCTTTCTGTCAAGCAGGCCCTCACCAAACTCTCACTGAAATGAACAGGGTTTCACTACTCTTATCTAAAATTCTTTCCGTCTTCTAAATTTGTTCATTCTCTCATTGATTTTCTTTCACCAACTTCTTGGCTGTTTGTGAGGATTAAGTGCACAAATATACACAATGTGCTTAGAATGGAGTCTGGTGCACAGGAAGTAGTGTGTGGTACAATAATCATTGCACAAGCATTTCCTGAAGGTCTATCAAATGCCAGGCCCTGAAGGAGGCTGTATTAAAAATTCACCCCCACTTCAAAGAAAGCACAGTGACATAGGAGCAGGTGCTCACCAAGAGAGGCCTAGAAGGCTTTCCCTCTCTGTCCTGGGACTATATCCCTCCCACTCCTCACCCTAGGCCTGACAGAGAGACCACCTAGGTTGCCCTGGGGAGATGGGGTGGGGTGGGAGGACTAGCAGGTATCCTGGGAAGTGGGGCCCATCTTGCCCCCTGCAGGCCTGTGGGTGGTCCCTGGTTCACAGGACTGTGCAGCCTTGTGTTGGTCTCCTGCCCAGCCCCTTGGGTTCTTACCAGGGCTGGTGTGGTCATAGCGGTATGGCTCCGAGATGAAGTGCGGGACACTCATGAGCAGACCCGCCAGGGCTACCAGGACCGCCCCATAGCCGATCATGCGGGGCCGGTGCACTCGGCTACCAAAATAGCTCACAAGCACAATCAAGGTTGTGTTACCCACCTACAAAAGGACAAGGCGACCCATTAAAGTGACACAGAGCCCAGAGCCCAGGGCCTGCATCATCTTTTCTCTGTTACCAATCTCAGTGCTCCTAGCTGTGTAATAGAAGGGCTGCTGAATAAGAATCATTGGGTCTCTCTTATGAACTCAGACTCTGGGGCCTGCTGGGAAGCACCTCACTGATCCTTTAGGACACAGAAATGAGGATAAAGCTAAAAGATCAATTTCATTTTGGGACATAGAATAGAGTGGGCAGTTGAGGAAAGTTTTGAATTTCAGGGATATCACAAACCAGACACAAATAGTCAAAGTCTGAAGCCTGGAATTTCAAACCAATTTCATAGGCGAACATATGGCACATGGGCTACAGTGAGCTCTTTGTACCACTGAAAGCTCTAAAAGGTTTGCCATCACTGCCTTGGACTCACGATCCAAGGTTACAAATGCTAGAGGGGACTTATGAGCTGATAAGGCAGGAAAGTTCTTCTGCCCCCTGCTTCTGGGCCAATGACCATGGGTGAGCCCCAGGCTCCTTATGAGGGAATGGAGTCCTAACAGCAGACGGATGGTGGGGGATGGACCCTGGGAAGGACAACAACTGACTTTCCTTTCAGAGATTTGGGTGTGGTGTGCTGAGACACATCTGGGGGTGTTGTGCCATTTTGGGTCAGAGGGAATGTGACATATGAAAGAAGAGGAAAGAATTTTACGGAAATCTGCTGGGAGGCGGGTGGTGCTGCTTCCTTCTCCAAGGGTGAAAACATCTGGCAGGGAAGGGCTGGGCACAGTTGGATCTGATCTCCAAATCCACCCGGAGCTGCTCATCCAAGGCTCCCTGTCTAGCTGTGGGCTGCAGGCAGCGGCCTGTGGATACTGAGGTAACTCTGAGGACAGACACTCTTCCACAGTGTCACTCCCTCCCCTGCCATCCCAAGGTCAGAGAGGGCCCTGGATGTAATTTAGCCTCTCTTGAGACAGCAGAAATGATTTTCTCTGATTCCTTCCTGGGACAGCCAATAGCCAGAAGCCAGAGAGAGTAAAAAAACCAAAGGCAGAATGGGTGGGAAACCCGGCTAGCTCTAAAGCATCCCATGTCCCCCAGCAAGTGCTCCCAAAGGCTGCAGCCCTGGGCCTTAGAAGACAGCTGCCAACACTGGGGCGTTCCAGGGCAGGAGGGCTCTGGTTTCCGGTCCAGCATGGAGAAGACTAACATTGGGCAGGTTTGGCTCTATGGTGGGCAGTAAGATAGGAGGTTGGCAGAGAAGTGGTTGGCCTTGTAGCTGGGCCCAGACCAGTAGTACCTCATTGAAGGCGGCCAGTAGCCCTGAGGTCTGGCTGGAGAGGCCGAAACGCTTCTCCACGGTGGAGATGGAACTCTTGAGGTAGCCAGAGATCATGAGCTGAGCCAGCTGCAGCAGGCTGTGGCACAGGACGAAGAACTGGGGGAAGAGCACAGTGGTGGGGGTCAGGGAGACAGTGGGGAGCCAAGTCAGAGGAGGGGCAGTTGGAAACGGAGACGGGGACAGAGGGAGAGAGAAGCCACAGACGAACAAGGGATAGGGAACCAGAGTCAGAGGGCGTGGGGACACAAGAGGAAGGGGAGGGAAGAGCAAGAGGAAGGCGGAGCGGGGAGAGAGAGAGAGAGAGAGGGAGGGAGAGAGAGAGAGAGGGAGGGAGGGAGAGAGAATTAGCTAGTTACTGGAGTAGCCAATGGCTTTTCACACAAGAAAAGCTACCCTGGGGACCTGGGGGGTACCAGAGACTTGCATGACAGAGAATGGGGTCTTCAGGGGAGCAGGAAATGCTGAGACCCAGCCCCCGACCTTCAGAGTTCCCCAGAGGCCGACTGGATCTTCCTCCCTCTCCCACCACCCTCCCCCTGCCCAGCTCCTTCTCCACCCCATTCCCACCTAGTCCTCCCCTAGAGCTGCCCTGGAGACCGTGCCCCCCCATATCAACCCCAAACTACCCATCCCCCTCACCGCATTTCTAAGCCTGCCTCTAGCTGCCCTGAAAAAATTGGCAGAATTTCTAGGAGAAGAAAATTATATTCACTCTGTTCCAACTCTTAGTTTTCTCATCTGTAGAAGGACAAAGACTTGTCTTCTAGGAACTCATAAGATCCTGTAGGCTGGGGCTGTGGATCTTGCTCTTTAGCAAGAGCACTTGCTAAACCCAGCCTAGACCTTGGGTTTCATCACCAGCACCACATTTAAAAACCATTGCATGTGACAGCACCTTGCACAGGGCCTGACCTCCAGTAGTGACACGGATGTTGGCTCTTCAGGGCCACCCTTGTGCAGCCAGAATGCACTGGTATCCACACAGGTTCTGTATCCCCAGAGGACAGTTCCATTTCTCTAGAGAAATGGGAGGCAAGGGGCCTCAACTCCTACTGTCCACAGGACTGAGCGTCCTTCATCTTTGGGTGGAGAGAACATATTGTGGATACCTCATGTGCACCTGACAGCAAAGTGTTTTCATCCCTTTGATCCTCACAGCCACCCACTCTCCAGCTGAAGAAGCAGAGGCAGGAAGAAATTTGCTTGGCGTTTATACACAGCTCAGCTCTGTTAGGCCCAGAGGCCCCTGCCCCTGCCTGAGTCCCATGACGTACCTTGATGCTCTGGAACACATGTGGCCGTGAGTTCTGGGGCTCTGGGCTGGCTTTGCCTCCAGGTGTGTCTTCTATGTCCATTGTAGCCTTGGTGTCCTTGTTTGGCATCTGGGGCCCCTCACCTGCTGGTCCTGTGGGACAGCCAGCCAGGAGGTGAGATGAAATCCCAGAGAGTGACCCTGCTTTAGCTTGGGTATGAAGCCCCCAAGAGGCTCATGTGTTAAAGGCTTGGTCCCTAGTGTGGCGATGCTCAGTGGTGGGGAGTGATTGTGTCATGTTCATCAGTGGGTCAACCCACTGATGGACTTGAGTTTGATGGCATTTCTAAGAAGTGCGGGAAACTCAGGAGCTTAACTGAAGGGGTAGGTCATGACACATGCTCCTGGGGCTACATCATATTCCAGCACCTTCCTTACTCTGCCATGCCCTTCAGCCTTGAAGTTCTGCCTTACTACAGGCCCAGAACAGAGTGGAGCCAGCCAGTTATGGTCTGAAAGCTTTAAAACTGTGAGCCAAAATAAATCCTTCCTTTTGGAAGTTAATTTTCTCAGGTACTTTGTCACAGTAACAGAAAGCTGACTACCATGGGCCCTGACCCAGAAATTGCTCAGAACCAATGAGTTTCTGAGGTCAGGAACCTTAATTGTTGATGAGAATCTAAGAATCAAAGCCTCTTCAGCCTCCTGGATTCCTTCATCATGGTGCTGGAATGGACCTTTCTGAAAGGGCTTATCTTCCACCCCACTGAGGACCACCTACTTCATACTTTCTGTTCCCAGTAGACACCTCCCTCCTAAGGGGAAGCTGCAGACATCGCCATGCAATGGAGCCTGGGGCAATAGCCCCAGCAGTGGAATGGTTTGTGCAGTCTCAGTACAAACCATTCTTGGAGGTGCTGCCTCCATTCTTGGAGCCTGGATTCCTGGAAGCTGAGTTGAGGCCGGAGTGTGTCTCTCTCAGACTAGAATAGGAGATCTGGGATGAGATGTAGGGTCAAGACACCACCCAGATTGGAGAATAAAGGCTTTTCCAGGATGTGTTTTGGGACAAGCACCAGTCCCCCCAAGGGCACCACCATGCATGTAATCAGGGCCAACAGTCCAATCTCCAAATCATACAGCAAGCCATGCTGTGGGTCAGTACAGAAAAGGTCCTCAGAGACCATCTCATATAAACCCCTCCTGGACAAACACAGCAAGTGAGATGATGACTCAAAAGGCAGAGCTGTCTCACCTCATGGTCCCATTGTACATGTTGGCTTTTTCCCATAATAACCATGGTAACCATGGCAGTAGCCCAATCACAGCAGTGAGATCTGATCTCCTTCAAAGGCATCCCCTAGGGTGTCCTGACGCTGACTGCCAGTGGGGAGCCTGAAAGTCCGGCCTTGGGAGACTCCACCCAGCCATGTGATGGAGAGCACCTGTGTCTCTGCAGCCTGGGCCTCCCGGCCTTCCTCCCTCTTGTGGCCCCACTTCCTGCCGGAAGCCTTCTCCATTGTTCCATGACCTGCTCTCCAAGGCAGGAGTTTCCCCTCATTTAACAGGTCTCTGAAGCCTGAACACTGACCCCAGAATACCTTGGCCCCAGGACTCCCTCCCACTCCATTCCAGCCATAAGGCAAACTCCAGACCAGTTACCGAAGGCCTGGACCTCCAGAAGCTGGGGTTTTGCACCCCTCACACATAGTATCTGAGAACCTGAGGATTAGGTTAGAAAACCGAGATGTAACTCACATATCACAAAATTCATGCCTTTCAAGCCACAATCCAGCATTTTTTAAGGCATATTCACAAAGTTGTACAATCATTACTACTAGCTAGGTAAAGAACATTTCCATTTTCATCCCGTCAGTAGTCATTCCTCATGCCTCTTCCCCATAACTCTTGGCAAATACAAATCTGTTTTTAGGGCTTTATGGATTTGCCTCTTCTGGACATTTCATGTGCATGAAATCCTACAACATGTGCTCTTCTGTGACTAGTTTCTTTCAAGTAGCATAATGTTTTCTTTTTTTCTTCTTTTTGGTACCAGGAATAGAACAGGACCTTGGGCATGCCAGGCAGGCGCTTATGCCACTGAGCTGTATCCCCAGCCCAACATAATGTTTTCAAGGTTCATCCATGTTGTAATATGTATCAGGACTTCACTCCCTTTTATGGTCAAATAATGCTCTGTCGTATGGCTACCTCCTACTTAGTTTATCTAGTCATTAGCTGATGAACATGTGGGCTCCTTCAAGTATTATAAACATCCATGCACAAATTTGTACAAGACATGCATTTTCAATTCTCTTGGGTATACAACAAGGAGTGATCATGCGCTGGGTCATGTGGTGATTTTATGTTTGACTATTTGAGGAACCGCTGAAGTTTTCCACAGTGGCTACATTGTTTTATACTTCCACCAGCAAGGCAGGATGGTTTCAATTTCTTTACATCTTTCTTAATACTTGTTATTGTCTCTCTTTTCAATTAAAGTCCTATCAATAGGTGTGACATGGTGTATCAGTGTGGTTTGACTAACGATGGTCAATATTTTCCCATGTACTTATTGATCATTTGTATAATGTTCCAGGGAAGGGTCTACATAAGTAGCCTGAGGAATTCCATGCAGGAAATGGAAGTGCGTATGTCTGGGGAGGAGTTCCTTTTGGGGCATAAACTCTCAAAGAACAACAACAAGGAAACTTGTGCCGAAAAGGGAAGAGGACAGGGGCTGGCCTGGCGAAGGGGAGTGTGGGGGAGACTTGAAAGAGAAGCGGAGATAAGGGAGTTCAAAGCAAAGGCTCCCAGAGAGACTGCAGCAATTGTTTCTGAATCTCAGTTCCTGGCACTGGCAGAGACCTGTCACCCGCTACAGTTTCGGTTCTATGCCACACACTTCACACGCACTGACTCATGTCCACAGGTCCATTATTTCTAGTAAGAACAGTAAGTTCTTAGCAAGTGCTGAGGACAGTAAGAGCTTCTAGTAAGGACAGCAGGCTCAGAGGAATCTCACTCTGCTGGTCAACAACAGCCCCTGGGGCTCGAACCTGGAGGGAGGTTAGACTCAAAGTCCTTCTGAGCTCCTTGTACGGGCTTGATGAGGAGAAGCGGTGCAGCACTCTTCCCTGTATTGGCGCACCCAAACTGGCCAGGTTTTGGTAGCAAGGTCAGCCCACCACTAAGGGACCAGGCCAGGTAGACACAGGGTGGGAGCTGACCCTGGGAGGCCAGAAGTCACTGACCTGAACCCCTGGCTCTGAAGAAAACTCAGAGAATGGATGAGGGGAGGGGGACACAAAGTCAGTGTAAGGCAGGAGGTTAGAGTGTGGCCAGCTGGGTGGGCAAGTGGGCATGACCTGTCAATCACAGAGATGCAGGACATGTGCTTGAAACATAGTTCCCAAGCCCTGCACCTGCACCTGCACCCGGGAATAGTCAGAAAACGCTATCTTTCAGTTTTTCTGGTGCCAGATCAAGCAGGTTTTTGATAGATCAGCCTAAATCTGATGTCAGACTGAAGAGTGGGGGATACAAAATACCTCCACCATTAACCTCATTGCTACTGTAAGCTCTTTCTGTGGCCTCCTCTCTCTCTGTAGAGGATACTTCTTTTCCTATTTTAATTGGCGTGAACTCACTCTGCAGAGCATATTCTTCATTTTTTTTTTTTCTTTTTGAGACAGGGTCTCACTATGCAGTTCAGGCTGGCCTTGAATTCTCTTTGTAGCCCAGGCTGGCCTTGAACTCCCAGCAATCCTCCTGGCTCAGCCTCCTGAGTGTGGGGGTTACAGGCGTGTGCCACTATGCCTGGCTGCAGAGCATATTCTGTTCTTTTAATAAATGTAAAATATTGTTACTTTGTTCACTTGTTTTGACCAATTCTTTGTTCAAGACAACAAGAACCTGGAAAGAATATCTAAAAGGAATCCACAGCACCCCAGAGCCCCGCTAATAAGTGGGCTGCTAGGAACACGAGGTCCCAGTCCCGGACCAAATCCTACACTGCTGGCTTGGCTTCTGGGCACACTGGCAGCCATCCTCCCTCTGTCCCACACCTTTTAGCCCCAGTCCCAGACCCCCACCCTCCTGCTCACTGTTAGAGCCTACTCACCTGCCTCAGGTGAGCTCCTTCTACAGCTTCACCTGTGGCCTTCCTGAAGCTTCCACCTCAGTCTCTCCTGGCAAGGCTCAAAAACTTCTCGGTATTACTCTAAACTTTAGAGAAATGGCTGATTCTGAAGGACAAAGTCCACAGCCCAGGGTGAGGGAGGAACCCTGGCTCTGAAACTCTGAACTCTGAAAGCAGCAATACCTCTGAAAATCTGCCAGCCAGTAACCTTACTAATCAGGTATTTTGTCAGTTGGAGTCTCTAGCTACAAGGCTCCAACCCCTCCTGAGCAGGAGGAGCCAATATTCCTCTATCAGCCGAGTCCAGGTGATCAGGGGCAGCCTGGCAGGGAGCCCCTTGCTCTGTCCATCTTTGGAAGGCTCAGGATATTGCCTCCTCAGCTGCCTACCAGCTGCAAAAGTTAAATCCCAGGGAAATGGGAAGCCAAGTATAGGCTTTCTGCCCTAAGATCTGGACTGGGGTCCTGGCTCCACCACCAGCCCCTTGTGTGTGCCTGGACATGCCCCTTGATCTTTCTGAGCCTCAGTTTCCTCATCAATAAAGTGAGGATAACAATATCTATTGATAAGGTTCAAGACCCACTACCCCAAAATATGGTGCCTTGGCATTTATGAAAAATAAAAACCAGAATGTCACTCTTACCTTCACCTCATTCTGTTCTCTGACCTGATTCTACCCTCTCCTTTGAAGTATGTCATAAGACCTTTGTTTGAAAGGTATCTCACCATACCCAGAGAAAGGGAACATCCTTATCTTTGAAGACACAGAGAAGGATTCAAGCACACAGGCTTTGCAAATTTCTCTCAGTTTATTTCCATTAGACCATTTCTCCCTTTGTCTCCAATCATACTTCTCTGCAATTATATACTTCATCAAACATCATAAAATAACCAGCTTTCCTTGTTTCTTTGGGTCTTTATTCCTGAAAGCTCTCATACTGTGTAAAACTTAGATTAAATAAATCTGTACACTGTCCTTTGTTAATCTCTCCTTGGCTACCGGAGCCTCAGC